ATCAGATTTCGTATGAGCAAAAGGGTTTTCGCGACTGTGACATGTGACGAAGTTGCACTACTAACATGAACAAACAAAACACCCACAGAGTTTGTAATTGTATTTGGAGTAAGACTTTGAGTATTTATGTGAATGAATGCTAGATATTTGTATATGATACCCATTAAGTGGGGTTCGTACCCCTGTCCCATCCGCAACCACCTTCCCCAACACACCTCCACCCCTAGATCCGCCCTTGGATCATCACTGCCAACAAGACGGATTATCCGATGTATGTTCTAGGTGTCGTCAGTACAACAGACAATTCATTTTATTTTCCATGTACAGGTTCCTTAAAACGGACCCGAAACCCAGCTCAACTAACAGCGCAGCCGAGTTACAATGAGATGAAATCACAAAAGCCATCGAGCCTGATCTATTTATTAGACTCCCAAGACCAATAGGTTCCTGGGAACCAATTCCAACCTGATACAAATTATCCCACTAACTGTGGTTTACTTCAGAAACTGAGTTGCAACTACGTAAATGGGGACGATGTTCCATGGTTCCATGGTTCCATGCTAACCTCTAGTCAGAGTCTATACGCTGTTGTGTGAATGAAATAATGTCTTTGTGTAGTTCATGTATTTTTCATTGTATGTGTATGTGTGTGCCGAAATCTGATTGTTAAGTGGCAAATGTATTTATAAGGTACATATTCGTAGTGTTGTAATGTTGTGCAGTTGTAGCATTGAAATGTGTCGTATAGTCATGGTGTTGTAATGTAGTACCGTCACTTTGTGTTGCCGAAGCATCGTAATATCGTGCCGTCGCAGTGTTGTGTCGTGGTGTTGCATTGTCATACTGTCACATGGTTCTAGTGTAGTGATGTAATGTCATGCCATCACATCGTGCTAGAGTACTGTTGGAATGTTGTGTCGCCCCATCGTGCTAGAGTAGTCTTGGAATTTCGTGCCGTCACATCGTTCTAGTGTAGTGATGTAATGTCGTGCTGTCACATGCTAGTGTAGTGCTGTAATATAGTCCCGTCACAGGAATTCTTTCTGGGTGTTGTAATGTCGTAATGTTGTGTTGTGCTGTCGTAGTGTTGTAATGTCATGTCGTGCTGTCGATACTAGCGCTAGTTAAATACAGGTTAACACCAGATGACGCATTAGACCGATATTTCACCGATAATAATACATACAATAATACAATATTATATCAAATAATTTCATTCACCACAGTTCTCTAGCCAGTTCATACTGGATATAACAAAGCATTCTTTAAAAATACATATCAGTTGAAATCTGTAGATACCGAGTGTAATGTAAACACATTTGTGTATTTCCCTATTCACTCGTTTCACTAACTTCCATTTGTCGTATACTGTTCAAATTACACGAGTCAGTGAATCACAAACTAACAAAAACTGAATCACAAACTGATAAATGCTGAATCACAAGCCAACAAATACTGAATCACAAATGTACAAATACCGAATCATAAACTGACAAATACTGAACCACAAACTTAAAAATATTGAATCACAAATTTTCTGCCACATCAAAGTTTGTGGTGGAGAGGCATTTAATTTTATTTACATTGCTAACTAACTAATACAACTTACATGTAAAATTAATAGTAGAATGTTAATAAAGTTTGTTGGAGAAATATATTCGTTTCGCATTTATAAACTATTTCCACAACCTGTCACTCTTGTAATGGGAAAAGACATTTTCGATTTCCAAGAAATGACTTGGTGATTCCAAACAGTGCACAGCAGGTTGCGATGAAATTAAAACATCTATCTGTCAAATTCTTTTTGCAAAATTATGTGATAGTCATGGCTATGGGTATTTTAATGGTTGTTACATACACTCTTCAAAAAAAGAAAAGCACAGGTTGTATGTAGTTCATTGAACCTGACAACACACTAAATCCAGTATATAAAATGGATATATGTTATTGGAAAATGTTGGTGGCGTCAAAACGCAGCCATTGTCAATTTGCAATGCCATAACGGTATTGTTTTCACATGAATGTCATGAAGGGAACAGTAAAGCAAACTGCACGTGCAAGTTATGGCATTCGTAACTCAATGTAGAGGCTATAAAAAGGCAAGCAGAAGACAATAATTCGTCATTCAATTGTCAACATTTTTCAAGTTCGAAAATGCAGAGGCTCAGCGTTGCCGATCGGAACATCGCCATAGGACGTGTCCAAAGAGGGGAATCACAGTCTTCTGTTGCACGCCACATCAACGTCCACCACAGCACCCTTTGCCGCCTTTGTGACCGATAGACACAGTTCATTTCCACTGCAGACCGTCCGAGAACCGGCCGACCAAGAGTTACCAGTCCTGCACGGGATCACTACATTTGACTGTTCCACCTACGTATTGCAATGCCACAGCTACGGAGACTGCAGGACGCATCCCTAGTTTGAGGAGGATATCGGACTGTCAGGAACCATCTTTGCGAGGCTGGAATCAGACCAGGAAGACCAGTTATCGTCCCTGTTGTGCTACAGATCCATCGACAGCGACGCTAGCGTTGGTGCCATACTTTAAAGAGCAGCTGGAGAAACTGGAGTCAAGAGCAGTTTAGCGATGAATCATGATTTCTTCTTCACTGGCAAAATGGAAGACAACGTGTTTGTCATCGTCTAAATGAGCGTTTTGCCCCACATTGCGTGCATGAAATCGACAATTTCAGTGGCGGTTGTGTCATGTTGTGCGGGGCCATATCCTACACCACGAGCATTTTGACAGCATATCACTATATGAATCAAATTCTCCAACCTCACCTTCTTCCAATCATTGACCGCCAGAGAGAGCTGTTTCAACAGGACAGCACACCACCGCCCACAGCTCGTGTCACGGTAGACTACCTTTATAAGACCAACATCAATGCCTTGCCCTGGCCGTCGAGATCTCCAGATCACAAACGAATGGAACACCTCTAGGATGAACTCGATCGCTGTGTATATCAACGTCAGAACACGCTGCAGATACTCCCACAACAAGCCAACGCGTTACAAGCAGAATGGGCAGAATTCCACAGGACAGAATTCGTACACTTTTCCAGTCAGTGCCGAGGAGATGCAGAGCCGTGATTAGTGCCCGGGGCAGTCACACGAGATACTGAGTTCAGCGCAACCTTGTTGCCTTATGTGACATGACAATGAACAGTTTCAATGCCTTTGTACAACAACATGTGACTATCGAGCTCCAACATTTCATATTTGTATCTATGATATTAAATTTAAATATATCGGCTTTATCAGATACGATAAATTTATTAAAAATCGACCTGTGCATTTCTTTTATTGAAGAGTGTATATAACTGCCTGTGACCCCTTTTCGGATTGTTCTAAGACATTGGACCTTTGTACCCTGTGTAGTTACGCCTTGCAAGAGAGCACCGTTTTCAAAGCACTGTAGCCGTCATTGTAGAATGGAGATCAACCTACTGTGTTTTGAAATTTTATGAAGCACCAGAGTAGAGTAAAGCGCTCGATTCCAAATTAAGATAAAAGGTATCTACTCGACAGTGGGACAACATCAAATTGCAAAACACAGTAGGTATATTTCCTAACCGAATCCTAAACTTGCAAATACTGAATCCCAAACTTACAAATACTGAATCCCACACTTACAAATACTGAATCACAAACTTACATTGTTTTACCTACTCTATTAACCTACCCTCAACCACTTTTACAGACGAGTTATAAAAAGACTTACCTTCCTCGCTGTCAGATCCTTGATAAACTACTCACCAACATTAGCGTTGGGTTTTCCCAGACGCGAATTTCCGAGGTATCAACTGCGTTGAAAAGAACTGTCGCATAGTGGTTCCTGCATTGTAAATCCGTTAACAACAGATCAATAGTGACTCAATGATAACATGACCTAAAATAGCGTGCTTGTCCTTTTTTATCTTTTTCCTGTTTAACTTTTCCTCCTTTACTTTTCCTACATTCAACTGATAGCTGTGTCATGAACTCATTCTTAACCTTGCATTCAACAATATTGATACTATGTGACACGCGTGTGTGTTATACCCTTCGTTCTTGGCCACTTATCCTAATATAACTAAGATTTGTTGTTCAAGTCCATTTATTTAATGTTACACACAAGAGGTCTTCAGATGTGTTTCCGTTTCCTGAATTATTTATACAAGACAATACCTAGGTGATGCATTGAAGAGTCTTATAGTAATGAAGACATATTCTGGCCCGGATAGGTCTTCAACAACCCATGCTTGCCATAAAAGGCGACTATGCTTGTCGTAAGAGGCGACTAACGGGATCGGATCGTCAGGCTCGCTGACTTGGTTGATGCAGATCTTCAAGCAGTGGAGTATGGTATTAATAAAAAAAATAGTTTTAAAAAGATGTATCAGAAAGTATTGTCACTATAATTTCCATGGCCAACTTTAAGTTGGTTGCAAGTGTCTTTTAAATGTAGAAATTGGTCTTTCAAGAAATAAATATATTTCGAAATCCCATACATGACGTCATATTCATATGCCCCAAAACAATACTTACAAAAACAACACTATTATATACATCTATCGATGGTTTAAACAATGTGTTAATTTATAATCAGTATGATCAACAATCATTAGCACACCAGAGTATTTAAAGTAACAATCTTCAGCAATTACTTTCATCTTTTCTGACATTATTTCGTGTATGTGCAAATAAACTTTGTGCAATAACCTATGACCAAGCTTCTTCCTTTGTCAAGTGCTTTATGAACTGCAACAGTATGATGCTAGGTCAAATACTATGGCTAACACAAAGAAGACACAATTATGGATAAATAGTTCTTTAATACAAAAAACAGAACGGTAAAACTGTCACAACAATATGGACAGAGAACACATAGGGCACGGAATAGTACGAATTGGTCACGGATGTGGTAGAAACCTGTGGGTCGCTACCTATTTGTGGGCAAAAGTGGCGCACGCAATCTACACTTTTGCCAATTGATATGTTCTGTTTCACTTATACCAACGTCAAGGTGGAAATTATACATATCAGTACTCTTATTGTTTCTTTTTGTCCTATTGACCACCTATATGCAAGGCAGCCAATATCGCCACTGCCATCAGCGCAAGAATTGAGCCAGTAACCAGATATTCAACCTGAAAGAAAACGAAAACAATTTACATGTGATTTGTTTTCTACACTGAAAATTTGTTCCCTTAAATTCAGGACAAAACTAATTTAATCCTAGGATTTTGCAAAGACAAATATTAAATGTTGCTGAACATGCTGGGTGTATTGATTGAACTGCTGGGCCAAAATTAATTGTTTTACAGGCAGATGTCCTATGGCCGGAGTACTGCTGTACGGTAAAGAAGGACATGCTTACCCTTCTCGCGAGCACCAGGTGTCATGATTGTTTTTTATGGAACCATTCACAAAATCTTCCGACTATTTTGCCTCTTACGCCTAAGGGAATCTATTTCGTCGGGTAATCGAGACTCACTATTCTCTGGTGCTGACGTTATCAATTAAGATGCAGCATTGACATTTGCAACAATACATTCCTGACTTTGGTTAGAATAGGTCTTCAGCAACCCATGCTTGGCGTAAGAGGCGATTCACGGGATCGGGTGGTCAGACTCGCCGACTTGGTTGATGCATGTCATCGCGTCTCAATTGCATAGGATATCCATTTTACAGTGCTTAGTGGAAGACAAATTAAATTGGCAAAGGAACAGTTAAACACAGACCTGATCACTTTGTTCTATGTTGTACCGGCACCATGAGGCAAAGTGTTCACAGTTCTTAAAGATCAAGTTGTACCCAACCTCTCCAATTTGGGACAATGCTCTTCTTACTATCTCAGGGGGGTCGAAGTGTCTGTAAATAAAACATTTTATGAAACATAAAACGACCATGTGATCGTTTGAAAATAATTCCTTTGCAATAATGGAGAATATGCAAAAAGCGGCAATGACTGGCAAGAACAACTGTTTATACCAAATAAAGCGTTTTTAGCAACCGATATTGATTGGTTGGTTGTTGTGTTTGTGTTTTATAGCAACCGATATTGATTGGTTGGTTGGTGTGTTTGTGTTTTATAGCAACCGATATTGATTGGTTGGTTGGTTGGTTGGTTTGTTGTTTAACGCCGCACTCAGCAATATTCCAGCTATATGACGGTGGTCTGTAAATAATCGAGTCTTGACCAGACAATCCAGTGATTGATATCATGAGCATCGATCCACACAATTGGGATCGATGACATACATCAACCAAGTCAGCGAGCCTGACCACCCGATCCTGTTCGTCGCCTCTTACGACAAGCATAGTCGCCTTTTACGTCAAGCATGGGCTGCTGAAGACCTGTTCTACCCCGGAATCTTCACGGGTCAACCGATATTGAGGTAACAGTTACATAGCAATCACAAGTGTGTCTGGTGCCGACTCGATTAGATACATGTTACAGTGTTATTCAAACGAAACTTACTCCAGTTCCTCGTCCTTTGAGTTGTTCTTGTGCACCATGCGGTCACTAACAACATCCCAGAAGTTATCTCTGCGAACAATTCCTTTGCCATACTCTACTCCACTTATTGTGCATGAGTGACCCATATGACTTCCCATTGCACCATCGACTCCAGACAAGTGCACGACTTCATTGCCACCTGAATAAAAGTGTCCACTATTAAATATACATGCTTTGTTGTTTTGTTTTGTTTTTGTTGTTAAAGACTGAACTCAGCAACATTCAAGCTATACCGCCACCATGAGGCAAAGTGTTCACAGTTCTTAAAAAGCAAATTGTACCCAACCTCTACAATTTGGGACAATGCTCTTCTTACTATCTGAGATGGTTTCAAGTGAAATATATTATTAAACATACAATAACCATGTGATCATTTGAAATAAATTCCTTGGCACTAATGAAGAATATGAAAAGTGTGACAACGACGGGCAATAACCTGCACTGTCTATAATTTCAAATGAACCGGGTTTTTTAGCAACCAATATTGATTTGATTTGTTTGTCGTTTAACGCTGCACTCAGCAATATTCAATCTATATGACGGCGGTCTGTGAATAATCGAGCCTGGACCAGACAATCCAGTGTTGTGTCAAACAGCAAACAAACAAAAACAGAAAAATTAATCACTGTATTGACTGATCAATTATCGAGTTTTTACAGGCCATCGTCATATACATTGAAGCTAGAATAAGTGCAGCATTAAACAACAAACAATCAAACAAACACAAGAACGTACATTACAGTATACTTACAACGTATACTGACCGGTGGGAAAACACTCCCGTGTGGATAACATTACCTGCATAGGGCATAGGTTGCAGGGACCTATATTCTTATCCGTAAATCCCCCTCAGTTGCACGGATCTATGCTCATGATGTCAATCACTGGATTGTCTGAACCAGACGTGATTATTTACAGCCCGCGACATATAAATGGGATATTGATGAGAGTGATCTCACACAGCAAATAAACAAAAGCAATATTAACCACTGGATTGTTTGATCAAAGAACGATTATTTACTGGCCACCGCCATGCACATTTGAACTAGAATATTGCTGAGTGCAGCATTAAACAACAAACAAGCAAACAAACACAAGAATGTGCATTAATATTCTGTTACAGTACACTTACCAACGTATACTGCCCAGTGCGAGTACACTCCTCGATCGAATTGCACCAGATCGCCTTCTGTCAAGCTCTTAAGTACTGTCCTGTTTTGGCGCTGGACTTCACGGGGCGACATTTCTCTTTACTTTTTAACTATGCGGTTGGTGAAGTCTCCAGCAATGTTTTTCTTTCTAAGGAAAATAAAGGATATGATTTTTTTTTTTCTTTGTATCACCCTAGCTACCTATATATATGCCAACAGGACGGCATTTCTCTTTACTCTGTAACTATGCAGTCTCCAACAAAGGCTATGATTTCTTTTCTCTTTGTCGCCCCATCGACCTATATGCCAACACAAACAAAATAATTAAATGAGGTGACCTATCATCCGTCCCAACAAGATGAAATGGTTGGTCCCATAAGATCAATGAACAGACTTCGGCGAGACTATTACAAATTCAAGTAACAAAGCACAAACAAAAATTATTGCTTCCGAAATATTGCTCATCAGATAAAGTGGGAATGACACACGCCTTAAAATTGACATAAATTACATAGCTACGATTCACTCAAGACTCTTCGGGCTTTCATCCACAGGAACTCGTTAGTAAATAAAAATATATACCCCCTATATGTAAGTAGAGAAAAAGAGCGTCACTCGCCATCTTGCCGATTTGTTTTCATTCGATATCCAAGGCGACTTTATTATTATACGCTTATTGTCAAGCGCATTTCTGGCCGTAGATTGATCGATAACACATTTCTACACATGTACAAGTCATCTACATTCGATTAATGTTCCTTACTTACCGAAATATCGACAGTTAATTTCGCTCTACCGCTGGACTACGAGCGCTATCACATGAAATCAGTGCTCGTTTAACGGGGTAGGCAACAATGCAGTTTACCTGGCGCAGCCCGAGCTCTACCGCGCTTTAGTGCTACTGCTGTCTCGCTATACCGTTACCGTGCCTCACGCTCATGTGACTCACGCTTCACGTGAGCTTGATTTGGGCAAGAGTTAGCCATAATTTCTTACCTTTTCAAACGTTAACCGAGTTAATCCGATGGCGGGTGTGGTTTCAAGAAAAGATGAATGGGAGAGCGGACACTGACGTCTCGTGCCTGCGCAATTCATTGTTTTCTGAATTACGCATGCTCGTTAATGGGATGCTAATGACCCGTTAAACGAGCACAGGCTACAAGTGCTAGCGCTCGTAGTCCAGTGGTAGAGCGTCGGCGTTTGTTGCGACCAGAACTGGGATACGACCAGAACTGGGATAAACAGTCCACAATTTCATAAAACCCCATTTACTGCGGTAATGCTTTCGGTTAGCTCTAAAACGCATGGCGATATATATGCGGAATATGATTTAATTTATATTTTTGGGGGAACCATACTGAATATGATCTTTTGTATATTTCCATGTTCCATTCCAAATAAATAACCCCCATTAAATTCTTCACTATAAATTGGAAACATCTTCAGTTATTATTATTATTTTGTTATTTTTGTACTTGACAAATATTCACACGCCTTTCTGTGCGGCAATTCACATTTATGCACAAATGTCACTGTGTCTGTACGATATTTCTATTCACAAATGATGTTATGATTAGATCAATAATTAAAATCAAGGATGTGTTTCTACATCACATTGTGGTCACAACAGTGTATAGAATGTAATAGAATCATCCATATTACAATAGTAAAAGCAGTAACTCGAGAGGTTTCTGAAATATTTCGGATTGTGGCCGTAGAATAAAAGAGCCTTTACACAATATGCATTCCATTTAGTTTTTGTTTTGTTTGTAACTGAAAACAATTTTACGTATTCTGTTGTTCGTGGCCCAAGTTAACGTGCGGTCTCCTCCAATCCGACGATGTAAATAGATATGCAAAACATGTATCCTCATTAATTAATTTATTGTAACTGTGCTGAAGGGAATCCTTGTCATTCACACATGAATAGATGTGAAAAATCATATTTATATATTTTTTTAAAACAATTATTTCACTTCCCTCTGCATTTAGACAAGCTCTTTCCACTTCTTTTAATTAGTTCGATGGGTTAATTGTATATGGTTTGCCGGAAGATTGAGGCGAAAATTACACAAGATGAAAGTGTTTGATAATTCATTTTACAAAGTTACAGGGAAGTGCACAGGTACATCGGACATAAAATATACATTACTTAGAATGAAACGCAGGGTGTTGTATATTAGACATGTTATATACATCATTATAAATGAAAGACGCGGGGTGGGGTGAGGTGGGGTGGGGGGTGGTGGGCTTGTGTGTGTGTTTTTCGGATATAAACTATACATCAATCAGAACGATAGATAACGATAGAGGGTTTGTATCGGATTTATTATATTATAAATACTTCAGAATGCTGTAGATGCAGACCAATGTAAGCTTTGAAACATGCTAAGATGTATCCAAGCTGGATTTTGACGATTGTTTCAGAGTGGCAATCTATCCACATATACAAGTTAGTGGTAATCTCAAATACCTCCTTAACTTAACCCTATCACATATACATGATGTAGGTAATGCAAGGTCAGAAGTTTGGTGTGCAAATTTATAATAAATGTATAAATATTAATGTATAACTAACAGATATAAACGGTAAGACGGATATGACTGCTCATGCATGCATGCACCAGTTAACCAGACCTAACAGAAAGGAGTATATAGTTACTCCATAGTGTTTTAGGAACCATACAGCTTCAATTTGAAATAAAGGAAAGATATATTGAAGCAAGTCGAAATAATATATTTATATATATAGCTTTAAATCACGATGATGCATGGACAGTGCATTTTGTATGTCTATGTTGGGCATTGCTTAAAATATACCCACCGCTTCGCTTGTCATGTGAGGCGACAGTCGATGGTTGGTTGGTTGTTGAACGCCGCACTCAACAATATTCCAGCTATATGACGGCGGTCTGTAAATAATCGAGTCTGAACCAGACAACCAGTGACTGACATCATGAGCATCGATCCATGCAATTGGGATATGATAACATGCATCAACCAAGTCAGTGAGCCAGACCACCCAATCCCGTTAGTCACCTTTTACGACAAGCATAGTCGCCTTTTAGGGCAAGCATTGATTGCTGAAAAGACCTATTCTACCCCGGATCTTCACGGGCACCACAATCGATGGACCGGGTGGGCTTGCTTGTATAGTGACTTCGTTTATTGTGTGTCATGTACCCCGATATAAATACATGTAAATAAACGATTTGTTTAGGTATGAACAACTTCCCACGTCGACATGTACGATGTCTCGCAATCAACCAAATAACGAACCTGACTACCCGAGGCTCTTTAGTCGCCTCTCATTATACGATTGTAAGCCGGACTCACCATCCGATCAAGGGAATATTACCTGCATGCTCAGCTTTGCTGTTACCGGTTCTTCCAGTAAAATGTTGGTCCACATGGGCAGTGAGTAAAATAGTGATTGATATTATAAGCAAACATCCAGCACGTCGTAGGACGTTGAGCCTCCGATCCATGAAGTCACCTAGTAAGACAATTAAAATTAAGTATGTGTTGTTGGGGACCACTTCTACACGAAATCAACTGCCTGACTGGCCTTGTGGATAGACGTCTGTAGAAGGAGTGAGTAAGTGGGTGAATATGTATTTACACTGCTTTTAGCCGCATTCCTGGAGTATCATGGCACGGGGCACCAGAAATAGGGTTTACTCATTGAACATATGATTGGAATCGAGTCCGGGCCTTCGACGTGACGAGCGGACGCTTTGACCAATACACTAACCAATCGCACCCCTGACAGTGGAAGGTAAAATAAACGGAATAAGATAGTACCATGAATCCATGTATTAGTATAAGATAGTATAAGAATCCATGTATTACCCTCACCCTCACCTTCACTCGGTAAATACAAGAATTTCTGAATTCTGACACTCCTTGTGTAACACACTTATTGGTATAATACTCGCAATAAAAGTACCAATTATGACCTCTCTCAATATTTGCTAAGTTTGTGGTCCTAATCACTTTCAAAAGCTAACATTAATTATAAATATTCAACAGTTAATAGATTTTAAAGGTGTTATGCCGCTTCTGCACGGTTTGATTACAGTAATACAATGGTAAATATCTAATCAATTATTAATAAAAATCAATACCAATCGTGGACTTTGCCCCCTCAATATGTGCATATAAGTTGTATTGTCAACAGCTACAAGTATTCCAGTAATTGTACATGTGAAAGGGCTATCCCATTTCTGGTCAAAGGGACATGAGGGAGAATATAGTAAAAGGTCTCTTAAAAATAACAGTATTGACCCATGTCATTAAGATTCTGTTCACAAGTGCGAAATGATATTTACTATCTTCAGCCAAGAAGAAATATTAAGATTCCATTAATGTAGATTTTATGGGTGTTATCCCACTTCTAGTCAAGGTGATATGAGTCATAAAATAGTAAAAAATCTCTTAAAATTAGTATTATTGACCCATTACATAAAGTTTCTGTCCACAAGTGCGAAATGTTATTTACTATCTGCAGCCAAGAGGAAATATGAAGATTCCATTAATGTAGATTTTAAAGGCATTATCCCACTTCTGGTCAAGGTGATATGAGTCATTAAAAAGTAAAAAATATCTTAAAATTAATATAATTGACCCATTACATAAAGATTATGTCCACAAGTGCGAAATGTTATTTACTATCTGCAGCCAGGAAGACATAATAGGATTCCATTAATTGTAGATTTGAAAGGCATTATCCCACTTCTAGTCAAGGTGATATGAGTCATAAAATAGTCAAAAATCTCTTCAAATTAGTATTATTGACCCATTACATAAAGATTCTGTCCACAAGTGCAAAATGTTATTTATTATCTGCACCTAAGAAGAAATATTAAGATTCCATTAATTGTAGATTTAAAAGGTATTATCCCACTTCTGGTCAAGGTGATATAAGTCATAAAATAGTCAAATATCTCTTAAAATTAGTATTATTGTCCCATTACATAAAAGATTATGTCCACAATTGCGAAATGTTATTTACCATCTGCAGCCAAGAAGAAATATTAAGATTCCATTAATGTAGATTTTAAAGGCATTATCCCACTTCTGGTCAAGGTGATATGA